CATCGAAATACAAGAACATGACTGGACCGTATATTATGATACAAATGATATTGATATTAAAACAAGTATATTAATAAACACAATCAATACACTTATAGAGAAAAATAGTTATATCGTTAAACAAAATCGACGCCTAACAAAGAGAAAACAATGGATAACTCAAGGTATAGTTGAATCTATAGCAAAAAAAAATAAGCTATTCACTCATTATAAAAATGACCCAGAAAATAATGTTAAAAAAGAAGCATATATGAACTATCGAAATATTACTGATAAACTGATAAGAAAAGCGAAATCACATTTTTATAACAGTCAAATAGAAAACAATAAAGAAAACTCGAAGGCCTTATGGGATGTCCTGAATCAAATACATGGAGGAAACTCAAATGAAAATAGAGAAATTAAAGAAATATGTAGTGAGAATGGTCAGATGATAAATAAACCCATCGAAATCGCAAATGAGTTCAACACATTCTTTTCCAATATAGGTCAAAGACTTGCAGAGAAATTTGAAAACATTGACTTAATTCGGCCGATTAGAAATATAGCTGGAAATTCATTTTTCCTAAGTCCTACAACAGATGTAGAAATAAGAACCACAATCATGTCATTGAAAAATAAAAAGTCACCTGGAATTGATGGGATCCGCTCAGAAACTCTCAAAGAGATAACAAATAGTATCACTCCTTTAATTACTAATTTAATTAATAATATATTTGAAAAGGGACAAGTTCCAAGCCAATTTAAGGAAGCAGTTATATCTCCTATACACAAAAAAGGCGACAAAAAACTATTAACAAATTATAGACCAATATCGTTAATATCGAATTACTCAAAAATTTTTGAAAGGATTCTCAATTCCAGACTAACTGACTACCTGAATAAATACAACATACTTTCTAACAACCAGTATGGATTCCGCACAGGACTCTCAACAAATGATGCTATAGCTGAGCTGACAAAAAAAATTTATAAGTCTGTGGACGAAGGAAAACCTGCCCTTTGTGTGTTCTTGGATCTTGCCAAGGCTTTCGACACCGTTGATCACATACAGTTGTTGGAAGTCTTGGAGGATACAGGAATACGTGGCACGTCATTGAATCTACTCAGAAGCTATTTATCGGATCGAAAACAGATAGTGAGAATAAATGGTGAATTCAGTAATTCTCAAAAGCTAGAAATAGGAGTTCCTCAAGGCACAGTACTTGGACCAACACTTTTCACACTTTACATCAATAACCTATTTTCAGTGCAATCAACAGGAGAAATCATCAGTTTTGCCGATGACACGGCTTTATTTTATAAGGCTGAGTCATGGGCAGAATTGAAGAATAAAGTTGAAATTGATATCAATGGAATAATTGACTGGTTCAACTATAAACACCTGACAATAAATTTTGACAAAACATTTTTCTTACCCTTTACCAGCTATGCCGTACATCTACCAAAATTTAAATCAATTGATATAACCTATAACAACAAAAGTGTCAAACTACAAGGAAGAACTGATTTGAAGTATTTGGGCATAACAGTGGATTCTCATTTACGTTGGGATAAACACATTGATAATGTAACAAATATTCTCAGGCGGTTATTGTATAAATTCAAGTACCTGACACGACTAATTGACATTAACCACCTGAAGGTTCTATACTATGCATTAGTTGAAAGTCGTATTCAGTACGCCATACTGTCTTGGGGAGCTACAACAAGGAATTACTTGAAAAAACTGGAGGTTATACAAAAGAGAATTTTGAAAATAATTTATAAGAAGAAGGTGAGTTATTCATCAAATTTGTTATTTGAAAAATTAAAAATACTTGATATACGGAAATTATATGTATATACAACTTTAATCTATACATATAATAATAAAAATATTCTAAAAGAAATAGTGCATCCATATGCTACTAGAAATAAACAGCAAGGAACGGTCCAAATACTCCTCGCGAATAAGACAATAGGTCAACGCCACTTTATATTTCTATGTAGTAAAATCTACAATTTTTTACCAGAAACCTACAAAGTTTACCTAAAAGTTATAAATTCTATACATTTTTTTAAAAAACTCATAAAAATTTTCCTGGTAAACACGGAGAGGATCCTTATACATGAAATTATCGATTAGCTGTTGTGCGATTTATTGAAATTACCCATTGTTGTGTAGATCTTTTTTTTGTATTAATGTTATTTTATACAAAATATGTGTACAAAATTTTAAATACGTAGTGATTAGCGATAATACTTGTTACTTCTTATTATATTTCATTTATATTTTTTGTCTAAGAAATGTTGTTGTTTGTGTTGTGATAGTTAAATGTATATCATATCAATGGCACTATATGAACCATAATATGCGAGCATGATGAGCATGACTTCCATGCGCATCCACTAGGACCTAAATGGAAGTTATAGCTTATTGTGCTTCACATAACCTACAAATTGAGCCTTCATTTCTGATATGTAGGATATGACTATCAGCATTAGCGGGTCATATATATATATTTTTTTTTTTTCACGTTGTCTACATCCAAAATAATTGTATCTCCAAGCAAATCCCAGTGGATGGACATAACCACAAACAATCACACTTAGTGATTCGTGGTGTCATAGTTTATTTTCAAACATTTGTAATTATGTTGTTTTTTTGTGTTGTGAAAGGAAGAAGGAAAATAAACAAATTTATTATTATTATTATATTATTATTACGGTATGTATATCTTACGATATACATTACCTAATGCCACTATTTCTTCCAACAAATAGATGTTGTTGGAAAACGAGTTGGTTCATGTATTTTTTCAAAATCTATGATTGCAATTCTGAATTGATATTGAGTGGAAGAAAGAGGCTTCGAGATTGTTTCATTATTATTTTACTATATTTTTGATGTGTTGGATAAATGATGATTCCTCGGTACCTACTGATGTTCCTGTATTCCATTTTTCTTTCAAGTCTATACTGAACCCGGTAACGAATATCTACATAACCAAAACTCCAACTTTAGTGTCTTTCCGATGTGCATATACTAACTTCGATTCTAACAATATACAGTATGATCAAAAGATTGGAAGTTGGTTGGATAAAGGAGAGTTGCAAAATATATTAACGCGCACCTCTCACTAGGCGTTTGCGGAAGTTTAGTTTCATATTTTTTTCGAAAAGTATAGTCATAGGATTGAGTTGGGAAAAACCGCTGTCGACTTGGAACGCTCATGAGTTTTAGCACGTTTATATGAGTGGGATCGTTGATGAGTTGTGTCGTTGATGAGATTTTTTCGGGGGCATATTGTGATTTGTTTGATGTTTTCTGAAAAACCTTTTCGAGATGTTTTGCTAGCGGACCTATAATAAGACCACTAGATTTTGTTTACGAACAAATCACATTTTTTGACATAGTTGACTAGTGACTACTAGTTTTGCGATTCGGAGCAATTTTTCGTGTTATTATGTAATTACTTTTCCATAATTATTTTCACATTATTCGATGTATAAAAAAAACTAGTCATAGCATGGGTCTGAAAATTCCCAATTTGATTGAAATATCCATACTGAGTATATTGGTGGAAAAAAATCTTACATCGACGGTAATAATTTCGAATTAGAGGGTGATGAAAAAAATAGTGGTTTTTGAATATTTTTTCGTGGTTGTCAATTTTTTCAATCGATGAATCACTCTGTATATCATGGAACTCATTGGGATACATCCTTCAAAAATATTTTGAATGTCTGGAATCAACCCGATAATACGAGGTGGCCCAATGAACTTTAGGATAGACCAATTATGCAATCAACAGCATTAATGAAACACCATGTATAATTATTATATTTTACGAATTCAATTGATGTAAGAAGAGCATACTTGGCTATAAATCTCATTTTGTAATTGTTATCAATTTGTAGCATTGATATTCAGATATTCAAAAAAACACATTATTTGAAATGAGAATCACCCTGTAATAAAAATCAGTTTTGGTCGAATACCTATATAGTTTTTGCGCCTAAGGGCATAACTATTACGTGCTCCCGAAAAATTGGAATTCATTTGTCCTATCTTAGAGATATAGGCCGAGAAAAATTAGGTATTCTTCAACTTCAACACCCTGTATCTCGTAAACTAGTCATAGGATTGAGTTGGGACTTGGCATATTCAATCAGTATGTCGAGTACTATCATTTACCAAAAATTGGGGAAATTCGACGGAACGCCATTTTTATATAGAAAAAGTGCGGGGTCCTTTGTAGATTACCAACAACATTATGATTTGTCTGTGAGAAACTATTTAGAAACTATTTATTATCGGCTAAAACGGCTCACATGTCCCTATCTCAACTTTTGATTTACTATTTACTGATATTTAATCGGAACCTCGATCGGAACAGATACAGGGTGGTTCAAGATTCAGCATCCTGATTAAGGGACATGTGAGCCGTTTTGGCCGATAATAAATAGTTTCCACACAAACAAATCCTAAAGTTGAAAAATCTCGATTTTGAACGCCCTATATCTCTGTAATCATTCTCGATAGACCCCAAGTGTGATGTATCCATGAAATCAGCTCTTCAGGGAGAATCTAAAAATGCAATAAAATACAGGATATTATTCTATTTGAAACAACAAAGTTGTTGCTACTTTTTGATAGAAGCGGCAACACTGCATTGCTGAAAATATTTTAAATGAAGAGAGACTATTCTAAAATATAAGCATGCATATTTTCATGGATTTCTTTCTACTGATTCTCGATATAGAGATAGTGTGAGCTCATCGTGACATACCCTGTATAATGGACCAATTTTGTGAGAAAAATGCATACTAAAATGTTGGGACAATATTTTAACACATAATCATGCTGATATGACTAGAGATTTTAGAATCATTAGACATGAAAAGTATCATATGCAATTTATTCTTATGTGGAATCAATGTAATGTGAAACCTGGTTGCAATTTCATTGGACCAGAACTTTGGATCACAACTTGGAACGGCGGTATTTTTTTCAGATATCACCTGTTCGAATCGAGAAAAAAAAGAAGATTGATACACCCGAAAAAGTACTTGAAGAAGTTGAAGTTCTGTCATTAGCCCCATTCAGTTCTATTCCCAAATTGTCCTTTGAAAATATCAAAGTTGGTAGTGTTGCTACACGTCAGTTAATCATCAAAAATCCCACTAATCAAGAAGTCAATGTAAGTTATTGAATTCGATCTCTTATGATTTGTTTTTGTGAATTCAGTCAGTTATTTTATCTCTCTCACCATACTTTTGGGATCTCAACGCATGGCAGAAAAAAAAATTGAAAATTAGTATATTTTTTCACTGTTATTCAGTCGCTAGCTGAAGAATGGAGACGCACTTTTGCAATTTTCAAAATTAACACTTTATTGATTGGTTGACTTTTGAGAAAAAGTTTTTGAAAAATCCACTACCTACCTTTCTTTCTTACTACCCCATGTGCGATCTGTAAATTGAAAAATATCTGGATGTCTTTGTATTCTGCAACTCATTTATGATTTCTGATTGATGGCTGGTTGTAGAGATGGGAAATAGTGAAATATATAATTTCTCCCCGTGTAATATTGTTTTTTCTGTGTCAGGAAAAAAGTTTGGCATTTCATCTCTGTTGGCAGGTTATAAAATGTCATTTTTCATAAATTACTTTTTTCCCGTGGGAAAGAAGTTAATACTTTTTTCCCGGATATATATCACATATATACAGTGTGACCCACTTCAAATGGAACCACCCCTGTATCTTACGTAATCGTTGGGAAAGGATCCTGAAATCTGCTGGAGCGAGAGATATACCAAAAATGTACTCTATGACCAAGTGGGGTCATCTTCAGTGATATACACTGCTCGCCAACAGCCATGAAACTACCCCAATTTCTGGAAAATGATATTAGGAGTCAAAATAGGTTGAAAATCACTTCAGATTTGGAATCAGGACGCCCAATTTACTAACTATTCAAATTTTTCCTGGAAAATTTTCAGTTAGGAAAAATGAAATTTTGTCGCATTTTTTATGGAAGCACCCCCGTATCTCACGTAATTATTGAGGTAGGATTCTGAAATTTGCCGGAGAAAGAGAAAGTCCAAAGATGAAGTCAATTACGTGAGATACGGGGGTGTTTCCATAAAAAATGCGACAAAATTTCATTTTTTCGAACTGAAAATTTTCCTGGAAAAATTTGAATAGTTAGTAAATTGGGCGTCCTGATTCCAAATCTGAAGTAAATCTCTGGTAGTAGTCCATGCTCAAATTGGAGGTGATGAGATAATTAAGAGAACAAACTCAAAGTCTCGCTCCAAGTAAATTATAATCGAATAATATATGCTATATGCTACATGTTTCGACTCCTAGGAGTCATCATCAGGCTAAAATACAACACTTATAAATGAAAGAAGTTCCATCACTATTGGAAAAGGGGTGACATACCTTGCTAGGTAGGAGGAGAAAGGAAACTATAAAATTGAGAACATAGTTCTTAAGGCTTTTAAGCCCAAAATAATTTCAAGTAACATTTTTGAATTTTGGTTTTTTGAACCCCCAAATAAACATTTTTCTAAGATGCTTCTTTTGGATCAGATAAACATTGTTTACTGCAAATGGCGCGGTTATGAAGTGAACAAACCGACAGACTACTTGATTTGACAGATAAAAATTATTATTCGACAAACAAGTGACAAATGTCATCTATCAAAAACACAAAACATTGAAGTTGACTTAATGGACCATACATCAAAATTCATAACAAACAAAGAAATGTGTCTAGATTGACTAAGTCGGGTATTTAAAATTGTGTTTTTTTGAAATAGGAATAACAACGTTGAAAAAGGAATTGCCAATGCAACCAATGAATGGAGAGGAAGATTACAAAATGGAATTGAAAGTGGATAGGCAATCAAATCTAACTTGTTCATTAAGACAAACAGTTGAATTTGAATGGGCAGATCTATTGATTTCTAGGATTTCCAGAAGGTTAAGCTTTTTTCCTTTAGGATGAACATGTAGCACTTCAAAATCTTCTACTATATTATGTTTGTGTTTATTCTCGAGAACATGGATAGCGAAAGAAGATGTAGTGTTGATAATATCAGAGTTAATATATTTGTCAATTTTTTTTTTATGTTCTGCTATCCTGGTGGAAAAAGCTCTCCCTGTCTGACCAACGTATTCTGCATTGCAATCAGAGCATTTGATCTTGTAAACGCCTGACTTAGAATGTACAGGGTTTTTATCTTTGTTATTAACAAAAATGGAACCTAAACTATTATTGGTTTTGAAAGATAAAGAAATGTTATGTTGTGCAAAGATTTTTGAAAATTTGAGGGAATGTGGGCCAAAATAGGACATAGATCTGTATATCCTGTTGGATTTTTCGATTGATGGCAGAAGGTTCCTGTTAATAAATTTTGATTGGTGTTTATAAAAAAGTTTGTTAATTAAATTTAGTGGAAAACCGTTATTATGTGCAATTTGTTTTATTATGTTGAGTTCATTATTAAAAGAACTTACTGAAAGAGGTAAATTGAAGAGTCTATGAAACATACTATGAAAACTAGCAAATTTCTGTTGATAGGGGTGATTGGAGCTGAACGGTATAGCTGTGTCTGTATGGGTGGGCTTTCTGTAAATGTCGAAAGTGAGGTTGTTGTGAGATCTATTAATCTTCAAGTCCAAAAAGGGGATAGAACCGTTAACTTCAACTTCCATGGTGAATTTGATATTGGGGTGTAAATTGTTGAGAAAAAGCAAGAAATCATTAAGCATAGTACCATCGCCATCAAACAAAACTATAGAATCATCAACGTATCTGATTCTATAGTTTTGTTTGATGGCGATGGTACTATGCTTAATGATTTCTTGCTTTTTCTCAACAATTTACACCCCAATATCAAATTCACCATGGAAGTTGAAGTTAACGGTTCTATCCCCTTTTTGGACTTGAAGATTAATAGATCTCACAACAACCTCACTTTCGACATTTACAGAAAGCCCACCCATACAGACACAGCTATACCGTTCAGCTCCAATCACCCCTATCAACAGAAATTTGCTAGTTTTCATAGTATGTTTCATAGACTCTTCAATTTACCTCTTTCAGTAAGTTCTTTTAATAATGAACTCAACATAATAAAACAAATTGCACATAATAACGGTTTTCCACTAAATTTAATTAACAAACTTTTTTATAAACACCAATCAAAATTTATTAACAGGAACCTTCTGCCATCAATCGAAAAATCCAACAGGATATACAGATCTATGTCCTATTTTGGCCCACATTCCCTCAAATTTTCAAAAATCTTTGCACAACATAACATTTCTTTATCTTTCAAAACCAATAATAGTTTAGGTTCCATTTTTGTTAATAACAAAGATAAAAACCCTGTACATTCTAAGTCAGGCGTTTACAAGATCAAATGCTCTGATTGCAATGCAGAATACGTTGGTCAGACAGGGAGAGCTTTTTCCACCAGGATAGCAGAACATAAAAAGATAATTGACAAATATATTAACTCTGATATTATCAACACTACATCTTCTTTCGCAAACCATGTTCTCGAGAATAAACACAAACATAATATAGTAGAAGATTTTGAAGTTCTACATGTTCATCCTAAAGGAAAAAAGCTTAACCTTCTGGAAATCCTAGAAATCAATAGATCTGCCCATTCAAATTCAACTGTTTGTCTTAATGAACAAGTTAGATTTGATTGCCTATCCACTTTCAATTCCATTTTGTAATCTTCCTCTCCATTCATTGGTTGCATTGGCAATTCCTTTTTCAACGTTGTTATTCCTATTTCAAAAAAACACAATTTTAAATACCCGACTTAGTCAATCTAGACACATTTCTTTGTTTGTTATGAATTTTGATGTATGGTCCATTAAGTCAACTTCAATGTTTTGTGTTTTTGATAGATGACATTTGTCACTTGTTTGTCGAATAATAATTTTTATCTGTCAAATCAAGTAGTCTGTCGGTTTGTTCACTTCATAACCGCGCCATTTGCAGTAAACAATGTTTATCTGATCCAAAAGAAGCATCTTAGAAAAATGTTTATTTGGGGGTTCAAAAAACCAAAATTCAAAAATGTTACTTGAAATTATTTTGGGCTTAAAAGCCTTAAGAACTATGTTCTCAATTTTATAGTTTCCTTTCTCCTCCTACCTAGCAAGGTATGTCACCCCTTTTCCAATAGTGATGGAACTTCTTTCATTTATAAGTGTTGTATTTTAGCCTGATGATGACTCCTAGGAGTCGAAACATGTAGCATATAGCATATATTATTCGATTATAATTTACTTGGAGCGAGACTTTGAGTTTGTTCTCTTAATTAAATCTGAAGTGATTTTCAACCTATTTTGAATCCTAATATCATTTTCCAGAAATTGGGGTAGTTTCATGGCTGTTGGCGAGCAGTGTATATCACTGAAGATGACCCCACTTGGTCATAGAGTACATTTTTGGTATATCTCTCGCTCCAGCAAATTTCAGGATCCTTACCCAACGATTACGTAAGATACAGGGGTGGTTCCATTAGAAGTGGGTCACACTGTATATACACTGTTGATGGCTTTTGTTGTGCTATAGTTCCGAAAAATGAGTCAATAATACCGTCTCCGAGAAAGAACTGCAAGTCCTTTTATCTTCCATTCGACTTCGCGGTTACGTATATTACTAAACCACTAAATTCGCAATTTTTTGAAATCAAATCACAGAATTAGACTGACAGAAGTGACATCAGATATTTGATTACTTCAAAAGAATGATAAAGATGCCTACAACGCAGGTGTCCCTCTCGGTGTCCCTACTGTTAAAAACTTGAAATTTCACTTTGATAATTTTCAGATTTCAAAATAATGTAATATCTTCTCGATATTGATTCGACCTTTCTTCTGCCACAGAAAAAATTTTGTATTATACATGGGAAAAATATTAGATTTCAGCTCACGGTTTTTTGTCTCCCTCCGCTACGCGTCGTGAGACAACACAACCTGGAGCTAAAATCTACTACTTTTTTCCCTTGTATAATGAATAACTATTGTCTACTGTTATTTTTTTATGCCTCTGGCATCTTCAACCACATTCCAAAAGTCGTAGTATGAAATTCACCTCATAATATCCCAACAAGTGGAATCAGCTTGAAAAGTTCATTTTTCGTGACCTCAACAAAAAAACACATTTTACGTTCTAATTTTTGAAAAAAAAAACGACTATTTTCGAAGGCAAGCACTTTTCCTCCACAAATACAGGGCGATTTTGAAAATTTATACTTTTTGAACCCTCTCTATATCTACGAATTTTCTCAGCGAAAATGTCGAATTGAAATGTTATTCCATAGAGAATTACTCGGAGAATTATACACAAAATCCAGTGGCGCACTTAATTTTTTTTTCGGGGTATGGTTTTAGAGTTACGACTGAAACTTATGATTTTTTGAATGAAACACCCTGTATTTCATTAGCTCATTAAATTCCATATTTTTTTCCTTCAAAATGATATATAATGTATGAATATGAATTTTTTGAAGATACCCCAAAATCACTAAAACATTGAATTTTAACAGTGGGCTATGGATTTTTTGTATAAAGGAGGAATATTTCCTCTGAATTCTCCATGAAGAAGACAAGAACAATACCAACACTAATTAACTAACAAAACACAAAACTTAGGTACCTATGATAGCAACAAATAAATAGTAATAAAAAGTTCATTATGTAGAATGAACCCCTGATTGAATATTTACCAAAACAATTGAATTTCGGGATTAATCAGTAACTTATTCATTGAATTGTTTAAATTGATGTTCATTTTCCCTCACACACTTCCTCAATACGTCTTAATGCATCAAAAATCATCAAAGGATGTCTTTGTAATTCCTGGAAAACTGCCTCTGTTGTTGCATGAAGTTGTTCAAGATTGTTGTGCCTCTTACTGTATTAAAACGTATTCAGAAAGTGTGTCAATAGTTTGTTAAGAAAAATTGACATCAATTTGAACAATTCAATGAATAAGCTACTGAATAATTTCAAAATTCAATTGTTTCAGTAAATATTTCATCAGGTGATTATTCTACATTATGAACTTTTTATTACTATTTATTTGTTGCCATTTTTTGTGTTTTGTTAGGTTATCAGTGTTGGTATTGTTCTTGACCTCTTCATGGAGGAATCGAAGGAAATATTCCTACAATTGAAACTTTTTTTATATAAAAAAATCCATAGCCTACTATAAAAATTCAATGTTTTAGTGATTTCGGAGCATTTTCGAAAATTTTATATTTATACATTATATATCATTTTGAAGAAAAAAAATATGGAATTCAATGAGCTACTGAAGTACAGGGTGTTCCATTTAAGTTTCAGTCGTAACTCCAAAACCATACACCGAAAAAAAAAAAATTGAGTGCGCCAATGGGTTTTGCGTAAAATTCACTATGGGATAAGATTTCAAATTGACATTTTTGCTGAGAAACTTGGTAGATATAGAGAGGTTTCAGGAAGTACACATTTTCAAAATCGCCCTGTATTTCATGAATGGAAACAGTTATGCAAAACCTGATTGGGCACACTGTTCAGTGATGTAGACCCTCTGCAATGGTGAGAGAAATAAAAAACTATGTCTATCGAGGCATCCCAAAATAAATTATAATTTTCAGCTGTTTCTCAGTAGGATATTACCAGACGATTTGAACGTTTCGTATAGTTGGAAGAATAAAGTAATTGAAAGTGGAGGCGAAACAATATTTGAATTGACTTGGTGCCCTTTAGATGAAGGTTCTAGCAGGCACATCATCTCTTTCACAGACACAAAGAAATTGAAAAGAGATATTCCTGTTACTTTCAAATCACGGAGGGTGAATATTTATTCAACTCATTGGTTGTTAAAAATGTCGATTCATTAATATTTTTTCAGGCACTACATGACAAACCAAAATCAACAAGACCTCGACAAAAATCACCTCCCAAGAAATCAACAATAAAGTATTATCCAGCGAGGCCAACAAGAATCTCTCCCAAAAAATTTGGTACATCCCCCAAAAAAAACCTCACCCTCAAAAAGTACTCCCCATCTCCTGTGAAAAATGATTTCCCGATTCATAAAAGAAAGTCGTCCCGTTCAACTTTGCAAGCAAAACCCACATACGGGGATAAAGAAAATATTCCATCCAGTTTTCTGGACACTTCAAGAGCCAGTGACATCTTCATCTCGCCGAAAAACGTCAGCTTCACTCTGGGCGATTTGCAAACGGAAGTCAGAAGAGGAACGTACGTTTTGAAAGACAATAAAATCTCCCCTGTCAGCGAATTTGATGACAGCTTGGAGAGAATATCTCCTGCTACTTCGCCTACCCAACAACGAGAACCTTTAGGTAACTACATCGGTGACAACTTGTCACCTTACAATGGCTACAGGAAAGATGATTACAACACAGGCGATTTTGCATACAAGCTCAATAGAAATTCGTTTTTTCTCACACCCTCAACTACCCCGGTCAGAAAAACAGCAACCGTACCACCGCAGATTCACATTGAAACACTGAATATCAAGTCGGTTTTGGAAGATACATGTCGTAACAGAACGTACGAATGGCCTTCTCTCACTCTGAATGTGAGCAGTGAAACGTACATCAAGGCCAATACAAGTGGCGACACCTATGTGAAGAGCAATCTTAGCGGAGCCACTTACACCAGAGATAACTCAATAGGGGACTTGACCAGTCTGAACGTATCTCCGTTCTCAATTAAAGTTTCTCCAGAGATACGAGGAAGGGTGTCCCCAAAACATCTACGTCAACAAAGATGTCCTTCCCCTTTGAATTTTTCTTACAGTGACACCGATTACATGAAGAGGGCTCCCCAAGTGAATCACTTTGATAGAATTGAAGGTCAAGAGCTGAGCCGCATTGAAGAAGAATCTTATATCCACAGTTCGCGAGATTCTACGAAGATTCATCACAATACTATGAAACGTCGGAAGTTAGATGCTGATTTAACTGTAACTGCTCCCAAACAACCTTCGGCTTGTTCAGCTAAAGATTGGTCAAGAAAAGGTGGTGCCGCTCTGAGAATTGTCAAAAAAACTTCCGGTCTGAACTTGACCAATCTTAAAAACCGTCCAACTGATCACGATGAAGAAACCATCATGAAAATCTCGAAGAAAGACACTAACACAGTCATAATACAGAATCCATTTCTCTTAGCCGCGACAAACTTGGTAGATCCATTCATGACCCCGAATTTGTATGTGAATGACCAGTGGATCGACAAGCAAGAAGTAGATCTTAAAAAATGGTTGAATGCACTGTTGACACCTCCTCAAGAGCTGAGCGCTGAGGAAAGGGTCATTGATGTGGCAAAAGTTTGGCAAGAGTGCAAGAAAAGAGAAGTGGATGTTGTTCCCAACAAGGAACAAATTTCCAATGACTACCACATCAACACAAAGCTCAATAACCTGAGAAAGTCTGCACAAAATTTGTTTAGATCCTCTGAAGTCGGTTTGGTGCTATCAAAAGTAATACAAGCTGTGGACTCTGGCAAACTCAGCGTACGTACCGACAAAGACATACATCTGAATTTGATTTTGAAGTCTGAAATAATTGGTTTGCTCTTGAATTACAATACTTTATGGCTCAGAATTGCCTTGGAGACGATATACAACGAAATTATCCCGCTGAGCTCTAACTCCGACATCGTCGGACTGTCTACCTTCATAGTTAACAGGGTGATCAAGGATCCTTACCTGGTCAGAAAATTTAAATCGGTTCATTCCCCCAAATATGCTGGAGAATTCAAAAAGTTTTTCCTGAAGAAATTTCTCATTTTGGTGTACTTTCTCGATCAAGCAAAGAACCAGAAACTCATTCCTCACGACCCGTGCCTGTTCCGTAAAAATGGAGCTATCAAAGAGAGCAAAGAATTACTCTTGATTCTAGCTAGAGAAACTCTGTTTGCTGTTGGAGATATAACGAAGTCGCTGAAGTTTTTAGGATACACAGTGTCTCATGTACAAACTTATATCCACGAATTTGATTATACAGTAACTAATTTAGGAGTCGATTTGAGAGATGGAGTTCGGCTATCGAAGATCATGGAAATAATCCTAATGCAAAGCAATATACAGAACAATCTAAGAGTACCGGCAATATCGCGCCTACAAAAAATTCACAACATGAAAATTGTATTCGATTCTTTGGAGGGAGCTGGTTATAAGATACTATACGACATTTCTCCCAAAGACATTGTCGATGGCCACAGAGAAAAGACCTTATCTTTCCTCTGGCAGATAATATACAAGTTTGAAGCTCCTTTGATGGTAAAGAGTGTGACAACTATCCAAAAGTGGTTCAGGAGTTTACCGGTGGTTCTGAAAAGGAGACGGTTAAGGAGGATCTTGATGAGGCGGGAAAATGCCGCCAAGAAGATACAAGGATGGTATAAGAGGCAGAGGTTGTCCAAAAATATAGAACGCTTTGCTGCAGGCTATAAACAGTACCTGGAACATATGAGAAGGGAAAGAGCTGCTGTGAGAATACAGTCTTATTACAAGATGTATGTTTGTCAAAAATCTTACAGAAATAAGCTTCAAACTATAGTTGATGTTCAAAGAATATGTAGGGGATATTTAGTGAGAAATATTAACACAGTACAAATCAGGAGTGCAGTTGTTATACAAAGTTATGCAAAAATGTATATAGCAAGAAAACACTATTTGAAACTCAAACAAAGTACTCTAGTTATCCAGGCTAGGTATAGAGCACAAAAAGAAATGAAGTTGAAACAATCTGCTTATAACAAGCTGAAATCTACAGTTATTTTTATCCAACAAAAATTCAGAGCTAATCAGTTGGCGGCTGATCAAAGACAAAGATATCTACAATTGAGATCAGCAGTAATATCAGTTCAGAGAAGGATCAGAGCTAATAAATCGTGTAGAACTGAATCTCAAAAATACAATGAAATTAAGTCAGCTGCAGTTACAATACAGACTTGGTACAGGTCTATAAAGACTATGCGATCACATCGCGAACAATATCTTCAACTCAAACGGAATGTTCTCATTGTAGAACAAAGATTTTCAGCTATGAAGGCAATGAGGACTGAGAGACAGAATTATTTGCTTGTCAGAACAGCTTGTATAAATATCCAGCTGCAGTACAGAGCTTTGAGATCAATGCGAATGGAGAGAAAAAGATTTTCTGAACTGAAATCGGCAGCAGTTTGTCTGCAGCAAAGATATAGAGCAAAAAAGGCTATGGAGCGTGAATTGCTCTGGTATCGAAATCTACATGACGCTGCATTATTTGTTCAGAGGAGATACAGAGCTAACAAATGCATGAGAATAAATCGGACCAAATTCTTGAGAGTTCGAAATGCTACTACTAAAATCCAGTTGTGGTTCAGAGCCACTTTAGAAATGAGAAAATACCGAACGAACTATTTATCTCTTAAATACGCAGTGCGCATTTTAGAAGATAGATACGAGGCTCTAACACTAATGAAAAAAGCTGGCGCAGAATTCCAGAAGATGAGGTCATCTACTATCCTACTCCAACAAAAGTATAGAGCATTATTAACTATGCGTTTTGAGAGGAACAAGTTTTGCCAACTGAAATCAGCGACAATATCGATCCAAAGAAGGTTCAGATCCAACAAAATGGCAAATATGCAAAGACTAGAGTACTTGAATTTAAAACAAGCTACTGTTGACATACAAAGACGTTTCAGAGCTAAAAGAGATATGCGAATATGTTTGCAGGAATTCGTTCTCTTAAAGAAGACAACTATAATGTTACAGAGAAGAGTGAGAGCCAATAAAATTATGACGGTAACACGAGATGCCTATAAATCATTATTGATACAAACTATTTTCATACAGAGGAAATTTAGAGCTAACAGACTGGCGCGAATACACAGAACAAACTATTTGAAGTTGAAACAAGCTAGTGTTGTCTTGCAGAGACGGTTCAGAGCTCAGAGAGACATGCGAATATGTTTAGACGAATTTGTTCTGTTGAAGAAGGCAACTGTCATGATTCAAAGAAAATTCAGAGCAAATAATATGATGAAAGCAGCCCGAAATGTCTATGAATCAATATTGAAACAAACTATTTTTATTCAAAGAAAATTCAGAGCAAACAGACTGGCGCGAATACAGAGAACAAACTATTTGAAGTTGAAACAAGCTAGTGTTGTCTTGCAGAGACGGTTCAGAGCACAAAGAGACATGCGTATATGTTTGGACGAATTTGTTCTGTTGAAAAAGGCAACCATTATGGTTCAAACAAGATTCAGAGCAAAGCTTATGATGATAGCAGCCCGAGATGCCTATAAATCATTATTGAAACAAACTATTTTCATACAAAGGAAATTTAGAGCAAACAGACTGGCGCGAATACACAGAACAAACTATTTGAAGTTAAAACAAGCTAGTGTTGTCTTGCAGAGACGGTTTAGAGCACAAAAAGACATGCGAATATGTTTGGACCAATTCGTTCTGTTGAAGAAGGCAACCATTATGGTTCAAACAAGATTCAGAGCAAAGCTTGTGATGATAGCAGCTCGAGATGCCTATACATCATTATTGAAACATACTATTTTCATTCAAAGGAAATTCAGAGCTAACCGACTGTCACAGATACACAGAACAAACTACTTGAGATTGAAACAAGCTACTGTCATAATACAAGCACGTTTTAGAGCTCAAAGAGCCATGCGAGTATGTGCACAAGAGTTTGTTCTGCTGAAGAAGACTACAGTAATGCTTCAGAGGAGAGTCAGAGCAAATAAGATGATGAGGGTAGCTCAAGACTCCTATAAGTCTTTATTGAAAGCTGCCATTTTGATTCAGACTAGATGGAGAGCCAAACAGGCATCAGAAGAAGCTAGAAATAGTTTTTTGGCACTCAGACAAGCTACTGTCCTAGTGCAACAACAATGGAGGGCTAAGAAAATTGGTATGCGAGAAAAGTTGCAATTTGAAGCTATGAAAAAAGCATCTATAATTATCCAACGACGATGGAGAGCTTTGAAATCAGGAAGACACGTCAGAAATGACTATCAAAAATTGAAAATTGCTACTTTGACTGTTCAACAGATGTGGAGAGCCAAAATATCCATGAGAATACATTCAAGATATTACAAAATCCTCAAAAATGCAGTTATAATTTTGCAGAGAAGGTACAGAGCACAAGTTTTAATGAAGAAACAGTTGTCTGCTTATAAGAAGGAACAAAATGCCACCATTTGTATCCAGAGATTCTACAGGGGATATTTAGAAATGAAAGCAGCCAAAGCAGAATACGAATTGAAGAAAAAAGCAATCATTCGAATCCAAAGTCACATAAAAGGTTATAGCGTGCGACAAAAATATGCACACTACTTTACTCCTGAAGCCAAGGAACAAAGAAGAATTGAGAAACAACATAATGAGGCTGCTCTCAGGATACAGGTGAGTTTCTTCCACCCGTCAAATATCCTGGCCTACTATCAGTCTCATTTCAGGCTTATTGGAGAGGATACAAATCGAGGTCATTGGAGCCTAACGACTGCGCCAAAATAAGGAAAAGGATGCTGAAGGCCAATGCGGAGGCTATGCCAGAAAAGACCTTGGAATGCAAGTCCAGAGTGGCTTTGCAGACGTTTGCCAATCAAAGTTCGACGCTGTTTCACATCATCAAGGCCTTGGAGGATATAGGTGAGAGAAACATTTAGTTTATTTGAATTTTGTTAGTGAATTTTTGAAGTGAAAACTTCTTTAGGCGCGTTCAGCACTTTTTTGGGTGAAGAAAAAAATTGGATTTCGAGTCATCGTCACGTCACCGAAGTCACTGAATTCACGATAAAAAATAACAAGTCGCTCCACCTGACGGCAACAACTTGAACACTTCTGAGCGGTTTTGTTTTGATGATGTGACCAATAAGAACAAACAAAAAAAATGTGAACCAATGAAAACAAAGTAAACGGGCCGCTTTGAGAACTTTCAAGAACTCCGATAGGTGGCGTACGCTTATTTTCTATCGCGAATAGCAAAAAATCTGAACGGTATCTCCCATGAAGTATTTTGTAATAATTATCATGATCTGATTCTATTCAAAATTGGTATATGGGGGTTTTCAGAGTCGAAGGTTATGATTCCTTCATCAAAATTGGGAAATTCAAGATGGCTGATCCAATATGGCGGACGAGTATTGTAATTATGGTCCGACTCTATTTAAAACTAGTATCTGAAGGTTTTCGGGGTCGATGATTATGATTCTTTCTTTGAAATTTGGAAATTCAAGATGCCGGAACCAATATGGCGGACGAGTTTCGTAATTATGATCAGATTCTATTCAACATTTGTAACTAGCGTTTTCAGGGTCGGAAATTATGATTTATTCGTCAAAATTTGGAAATTCAAGATGGCGGATCCAATATGGCGCAAGAGTTTTGTAATTATGATTCCGATTCTATTCAATATATTTATCTGCGGGTTTTCGGGGTCGGAAATTATGATTTATCCGTCAAAATTTATAAATTCAAGATGGCGGATCCAATATGCGGACGGGTTTTGTAATTATGATCCGACTCTATTCAAAATTTGTTTCTGAGGATTTTCGGGGTCGGAGATTATGAATCATTCGTCAGAATTGGGAGATTGAATCAAACTAAAAAGGAATAGAAAAATAATATTCTAATAGCTCAACAATACAATTCACAAGTTACTTATAGTTTTCACTTCTATCGGCATTCCCCAAAAGACTCTCCCGCAATTTTCTGTTTATTTTTTAGATTATGTTACAAGACGATGCGAGTCAAAGTGCATAGAAATGGCTCAACTTCTGCCAGACCAGTTGTATATTATGCTCGGGGCTACTAGCCGATCGCTGCCTGAGATGAACGCTTGTATATATTCCGTTAATATTTTGATTAATATATGTAAATGTCCTTCTACGAAAAAGTATAGCTTTGTCCCACAGTACATTGATAATCTCCTAGCAGTAATGTTGCACTGGTGTGACAAGGAATCTCAATTGTTTCCGACTTTATGTACCTTATTGTGGTTATTTGCTCATACGCCGCAATGGAAGAGAAATATTCTCAAGTTGCCTAATATTGTCCAAAGACTGATGAGAATTCAAGGCATGGTTGCTAGGAAAGAGACTATGGTGAAACGATCGACTAGTAAAGTTTTATCACATTTTGCGACTTTGAAAAATTTGCCAATGCCTTCGTTACTGCCCGATTGGGGACTAGATTATGCAAATAACCCCAATGTTTTCACCAATTCTGTACATGCTTTTAATTCTTTACTAAGTATTTTAGAAATATGAATTTGTATATTATTTTATTTGTATATTGTAACTTTTTTAATCCTTTTATATTGTTTGATTTATTGAATACAGATTGAATTGAAATTATTGAATATTTTAATCATTCAACCACTACATGAACCACTTTTTGACATCTTTTATTACCAGTGGGAATCAAATGTTTCAAATATACACAATAAATACTGTAGAAACATTGACCCACATACATAGAGCAAGTCCGATAGTTTTTAGCTAACAAAATATTTCGCTGTAATACAGGAGATACCATGGGAATAGAAGATTCTGATTGGTTCTCTAAAAGATAGTGTAATAGTCGGTATAATACCACTACTGAATGGTTGGCCAGAATTATGCATGCATTGATCAGTTGAAATCATTGAAATATCAGATTGTGAAAAAAAATCAAACTCATTCTCTTATTACTAAAACTGGTCAACATTGATGATATCGTTGTGGTTCAAATTATAGCCTGAATTTAAAGTAGAATAACTCACGAATTTCCTCACCAATGATGATTTGCATAATCTCTTGACAGTTTGTTGTGGCAATATGAATCTTCTGTAATCTCAGATAACATTGCTACAGGGTGATAATTAAATGGGTGTAAAATTGCATCGTGGTCGTCACCTCACCGTCTGAACAGATAATTTTTTTTATTTATTTTTTCTCACCTGTATCCTCTTGATTGATGCTTTCTCTCGAAAAGTTTTCGGAGTTTTCAAATTCAGAGCTTTGATAATCGTATTCATTCAAAATGATGCATTTTTTCGACGATTAATGAAAGCTGGATTCTTTTTCGAAGAATCAACGTTGTATGTATAGTCGTCGGGTACGTGATCGTGTTCGAACACAGAAAATTCTGATGATGAAGTATGATGGAATGGAGAATAACGTAGTCTTCAGTAAATCATACATAATTTTCTCGTGTGTTGCTGCTAGTGAAATAATGGAGTGTTACTTCGTCATGAGAATGTCTGGTGTCTAACCTATAAATGGTTTTGTAATTTCTCGGATCGAAGGTCAGGTTACGCATTTTTAATCAAAATGATGCATTTTCGTTAAGATAAATATGAATTTCAAAAAATTACGATTGTAGTTCCAGAAGTATGAAATTCATATTCATTCTTGACGATGGATATACAAGGTGCGATAAAAAATATGTCCAGATTATCCCGGGATGAAGAATATGTTTAAACGTGATGAAAATCGCTATGTTCCGAAAAAGAAATATAGTGTCGGTCATTATCGAAAATTGTGAAATGTATAATGACAGTAACTTTTCATGAGATTTATACGAGAAAATATGATGGAGACTGCAGAATTGCCATAGATTCGATAAACATTTTTTCATACTAATGAAGATAAATACAGTAAGTAATTCCTCATTATACGAGATAATATGAAGGAGACTTCAGAATTGCCATATATTCGTGCATACTTGTAACCATCGCATCTTAAACTGATCTAGCACCTACAATATGGTTTTCAGAAGGACAATTTCCTCATAGTCATTCAGTGTAAAGTTGAATGGAGATAGAATAACTCTTGAATGAACATTTATGCATCGTCTTTTCCACAAGTTGATTCATAAGGAAGTCATAATATCTCACCTGCTGCTATAGATTTGAAAAATTCTGTTGAAAAAAAAAATGGCTTGCCTAACTCATACTTACAATTATTGCTATTTTGATTTTCTCACGTCAAAAAAATCCTAATTGCATATTCCAATATGTGAAGTCTCTTTCATATTACCTGGTAAGCCTCATGAGGACTCATTGTATTTATCTTCATTAGTATGAAAAACATACATTTTATCGAATCTATGGCAATTCTGCAGTCTCCTTCATATTTCCTCATATAAGCCTCATGAAAAGTTACTGTATTTATACATTTCACAATTTTCGACAATGACCGACACTATATTTCTTTTTCGGAAACATAGTGATTTTCATCATGTTTAAACATCTTCTTCATGCCGGGATAGTCTGGACATATTTTTTATCGCACCTTGTATATCCATCGTCAAGAATAAATATAAATTTCATAATTCTGGAAGTACAATCGTAATTTTTTGAATTTTATAATTTATCTTAACGAAAATGCATCATATTGATTAAAAATGCGGTCATTATATGACCTTCGATCCGAGAAATTACAAAACCATTTCGAGGTCAGACACCAGACATCTCCATGACGAAGTAACACTCCATTATTTCACTAGTAACACAGAGAAAATTATGTTTCATCTACTGAAGATTAAGTTATTCTGCCATTTCATCATTCAGTATTTCCTGCATCACATATCCGACGACAATACATACAGGGTTGATTCTTCAAAGAAGAATTCCAACATCCAATTTCATTCAATTAATCGTCGAAAAATGCATCATTTTGAATGAATATTCATAATTATCAAAGCTCTGAATTTGAAAATACCGAAAACGTTTCAAGAGAAAGCATCAATCAAGAGGATACAGGTGAGAAGAAAAATAAAAAAACATCTGTTCAAACGGTAAGGTGGCGACCACGATGCAATTTTACACCCATTCAATTATCACCCTGTAGCAATGTTATCTGAGATTACAGAAGTTCCATATTACCACAACGAACTGTCAAGAGATTAGGCTAAACATCGGTGAAAACCGATTTCAAATTGGTAAGGAAATTCGTGTTATTCTACTTTAAATTCAGGCTATATTTTGGACCACCGCGTTATCAATGTTGACCAGTTTATACAAACCTTCTACAAACTGTTTTGATCACAATATGAAACAGGAATTGAGATTAGGAAATTCACTGATTGTTTCAAAGAAAAAACTGCTTACAATCGATTACTATATTTGAGTTCAGGTCTAGAAAAAAAAAACTATATCTCTATTAGGTACATGTATATACAAAATATAAATACCTCCACATCAATACGAAATGAATATCACGATTCTCACTTTCTGATATACTGGGTAATTTTATGGAGCTGCTCGACGAACGCCGCCATAATGGCAGTCACGGACGTTTCTATGAGGTTCTGGATGTAGTGTACGGCCTCCTCGTCGCCCAGATCTAACCTCAATTTGTCTTGGACTTTCCTGACGGCCTTGTCAGGTTCCAAGGCTATGTCGGGAACGCTCGCGTCCACCATTAACGAGAACAAGTTCAGCATCAAATTCGCGTGCCTGAAAAACAAAATTCGGTTAGAAAAATATTCGTATAAACGTGGAAATTAACGTTCCGATTAACAGTGCTGTTCCTAAGGTAGCGTATGCAGTCAGTAACAAAGTCAGAACGCATGGGCTGAAGGATTTCAAGAAAACAGTGGTACATAATTAGCAGTGCTACAAGTAATCAATTTCATTCAGGACAGACTTCACAAAGGAAATCATGTAGTAGCAATTTTTCATGTAACTAAAAAGGCTTTTGATACAGTTGACCACAATATACTTCTGAAAAACCTTGCTTCAATGGGAATCAGAGAAATTGGACACGATCTCTTGAAATCATATCTTGAAAATAGAACTATTAGAACTAAAATTAATAACTGTGAGTCTAAGATACTATATTTTAACAACGGGGTTCCTCAAGGATTCAGTGTAGGGTCCAATTCTTTAATCTATTATACATTCAAAATATTGAAAGAATGAATTTGATAGGAAACTATACCATATGGAAACTATACCATATATGCAGACGATACATTGCTTCTTTCCAGTAGTTCTAGAACATATCATAAATGAGGTCTTGAAAAAAATTGAGAAATGTCTTTATTCCAATCTTCTTTCTCTTAATTCTAATATATATTAGAATTCTAATCACTTGGATGACTTTTTTTCACTTCCACAAATTGTCTTTAAAAAAATGCTTCTGCTGATGATGAACTATTGATAGTCCGAAACATGTTCAGACACTGATAATTCAGATAATAAATTTGTGGAGATGACTTAGTGTGTCTTTCTTATGAATTTATTCACTCCACTTTGAGATACCATGGACTTCTACCATAGATCACCCCTGTATTAGATAATGGTTCCCGCCCAGCACTCACCTCCTCAGATGCAAGAACGCCGTATAGCACAGCTTCCTGAACTGCTGGAAGTGCTCCGATTGCACCCCGCCCATCGCCTCCACCATCTCCTTGCTCAGCTTCATGGGCGGCGGCAGCGGCTTCGGGTCCCGCCCCAGAATGTACCCGAAGTCGATGTGGAACAGCCGGCCGTCCCGCGTGAGCAACAGGTTGTCGAGATGGCGGTCGCCCACGCCCAACAGGTAGGTGATGACGCAATAGCCGGCACAGGAGCGGATGTAGGTGTCCATGATGTCGGGGGGCGATGCCGTAGGGACCGTGCTCGAGGGGGTGGTGTTTGCGGAAATAGTTGTGGATGCTGCCTGGAAATTTCATTAACAATTGAAAATAGTGAATAATAAATCACAAAGGAAGATCTTTGTGAAAAACCGACAGTTGGGCAACTTCCACCCTTCAATTGATCAAGTAGTCGAAGAATTAGGAGACTTTTCTTTGAATGTTCTGTATGGAAACACGCCAGGTACCTTTACGAGGAGAGTGTACCAACTTCAGCGTTCGCAACGCCTCTCTACAAAGGAGGGTGTCACATCTAAGGACCGGTTTGATCTCAGTTTTGGAGTTGACTGAAAGATTCAATAGCCATAACTGAATGATTCAAACCGTTTCACCATACCAAAATCACCGATTATCTGGATTGATCGATATTATTCCTTTTTTATCTTACTATAATCACCGATTATCTCAATTACACGATTTGAATCAGTCATGATCTGTCAGTTAACTACAAAACTGAGACTAAATCCGTTGGTGAAACCTAGCCTCAGAGTTAGATATAAACAGTGGTTTTATATTCAGAGTCAATGTCTGCCGTCCCGCGTGAGCAACAGGTTGTGCCACGCCCAACAGGTAGGTGATGACGCAATAGCCGGCACAGGAGCGGATGTAGGTGTCCATGATGTCGGGGGCGATGCCGTAGGGACCGTGCTCGAGGGGGTGGTGTTTGCGGAAATAGTTGTGGATACTGCCTGGAAATTTCATTCAGTCGTCAACAATACTGAAAAACTCTGGAAAATATTGAATAATAAATCAGAAAGGGAGATCTTTGTGAAATTTGGAAACACGCCAGGTACCTTTACGAGGAGAGTGTATCAACTTTGGCGTTCGCAACGCCTCTCTACGAAGAAGAGTGTCACATTTAATAAGAGTTACATGTAAACAGTGATTCTAAATTCAGAGTCGATGTGGCACAGCCTGTTGTTCTGGATGAGCAACAGGTTGTCGAGATGGCGGTCGCCCACGCCCAACAGGTAGGTGATGACGCAATAGCCGGCACAGGAGCGGATGTGATAATGAAATAGTTGTGGATGCTGCCTGGAAATTTCATTCAGTCGTCAACAATACTAAAAACTATTGAAAATATTGAATAATAAATCACAAAGGAAGATCTCTTTGTGAAAGAAGGACTGTTGGGCAACATGCATCCGTCAATTGATCAAGTAGTCGAAGAATTAGGAGACTTTTCTCTGAATGTCTTCGACTCGGAATAATTTTCAAAATATCCATGAGCTCGAAAAAATTTCCGGAAATAATTTGACCTCTAGTAGTATTACAAGTGAAAATACAAGAGATCAAGAAATTCTATTTTTGTTTGGTCGATATGAGAAATTGAAAAAAACTAGAGAATAAAGTCAGTGGCGTACTTTTTTTCTCATTATTATTGGCTGTGGTACCCATTGAGACGCCACTGGATCTAATAATTCAAATCTAGTTAGGACTAAATAAGCGCTTGAAAATTTTCGTAATATTTTATAGATACCGTTTTCATTGTGAACTTCGACGCCCCTGTATCTTAGAAACGATCGAAGCAAGAAGCAACTCTGGAATGTTTTTCTTAAAACGACCATACGAATAACCTTCTGAAGTTTCGTACCGTAGTAAGGAAACATCTTGTATTTGAACTATAAATTCCCATAGAATTTATTTTCTAGTTCACATTCATAACTTCATTCTCAATATTTGGCTCGACGAATGTATTTTCAATACCAAAATGAGAAAAAGAAACAAACTCAAAGTCGGTCGACCACAAAATTTAATAGAATAGGAATTGACTGGATTCGTCTGGTCATGACTAGACTTCGCCCATTTGCCCTCGGTATTATTGTTTTTTTTGTGAGGACAAACAAAGACAAATTATTATTATTATTATCATAAAACACTCATGTGTGTGGCTAGTTTTGGCACCATGGCCATCTTCAGACACAATAGTAACGAAGTACCTGGAAATTACAAAGATCCTAAATATGTCAGCTGAGTAAGTACATACCTTTTCTTGAAGTAATAACTAAATAAACTTTTGCATTGTATAACTTCAATTTAACTAGTTTTTACTTCAATGCCGTTTGCTTTCATTCTACTCGTTTTTTATATTTGGTTTTCATTCTTCGAAATTGTCAACACTGTCCTGTCAAATGTCAAAGTCAAATCAACATTTATAATTATTATCTCTCTATGTCATTCCTTTTGATGACTTGCCACGAATGGAGATGAAGCTTTTTGAGTAGATTTTTATTAATTCTCGTTTAATTCACTTACCGATGTTGAACTTACTCCTTGCTAAGTGTTTTTGGCTTTTCAGTCGTTTCAAAGCAATTTAGTCTCAAACCGTACTGATTTTTCTATACAGGGTGTTTCACAGATAAAGGGAAATATTTCAATGGTACATAGGGGTCACCAAGGTGGTAATGAAAACACCATATTTGATAGGTCTTAGAGTCTTCATAACGGAGATACAGGGCGATTTATCGATTTCGAATAATTGTTCATTCGTCTATAAGTATTGACCTCCCCAGTATATTTTTCTCAAATTTGGTAGGAGTTTATACTTGAGACGTTAAATTCATTCACCTATCGGGCGGAGTGAAAATCCAGGATCGGCTTCAGAAAATATTTACATTTATTCGAAATATTAAAATAACACACTGTATTTGATAATAAACACAGTACATCAAAAGAATTGTGAAGAGGAGAAAAAACTGAATTGGGTTTGATGCTTTTTGTTTTCCCGCCACCAATTCTCATCGTAACAATCATAAACAGAAAGTTGGAAGTATGTCAATTTGAAGAGTATTGAAATTAGGAAACCAGTGTCAATTATGATTATTCGATATTTTAGTCAAAAAATCTCTCGAAAGAACTTACTAAGTCTCACAGTCTTTATAACGGTGAATTATCGGTTTTGAATAATTATTCACTCGTCCATAAGTATTAAACTACCCAGTAACATTTTTTCAAATTTGGTATGTAGCTTATTTGGGACGATGGATTCATTAATCTATCAGGCGGAATGGAAATAATACCAAATAATTATAATTCGATAATTCACCCTGTATCTCTGTTATAAACACTATGAGACTTTTCCTGAAGGTGAACCTGTATTTCCATTCTGCCTGATAGGTCAATGAATCCATTGTCCCAAGTAAGCTCAATACAAAATTTGAGAAAATATTACTGCGATGGGTAGTTTAATACTTATGGACGAGTGAATAATTATTCGAAACCGATAGTTCACCCTGTATCTCTGTTATAGAGACTGTGAGACTTAGTAAGTTCTTTCGAACGTTCATTCAACAAGAATATATCAAATAATCATAATTGACACTGGTTTCATAATTTTAATACTCTTCAAATTGACATACTTTTAGCTTTCTGTTTATGATTCTTCCGATGAGAATTGGTGGCGGGAAAACAAAAAGCATCAAATCCAGTTCAGTTTTTCCTGCTCTTTACGATTCCTTTGATGAACTCTGTCAATTATCACATACAGTGTGTTATTTCAATATTTCGAATACATGTAAAATTTTCCTGAAGCCGATCCTGGACTTTCACTCCGCCCGATTGGTGAATAAATTCAAGTATAAGCTCCATACCAAATTGGAGGAAAATATACTGGGTAATTCGATACTTATAAACGAATGAATAATCATTCGAAATCAATAAATCGCCCTGTATCTCCGTTATGAGTTATATCCACCTAGGGGACAAAATTATAAGAATACACTGGAAATTTTTGAATTCAGCAGTCTTGAGCTTCGCAGAATAATGATGTCAATAACATTTTTATACAAAATAGTACACCATGAAATTAATTGTCCAGATCACAGTAGAGAAGCTCTCTACTGTGTCCAGATATTGTTTCAAAAATAAACTTTTATGTTCCACGAATTGGGTCTCGTCAAACTCAAAAATTTCTATGTAGTCGTGCAAATACAAATTTAATGTTGAAGTCACCTGTAAACATTATGTGTTTCGAATTTTAATAAAATATGTAGAGACTGTGATATCCACCATAGTAGTCTGGGGCAAGTTTTGACATGCGTCAGACAAGCTCACAGGAGGTTTGTAATGAATAATGATACCTGATCATATATACGTATATTTTTTTTGTGATGTACCTACTTAGCATTAGTAGTTGTTAGTGCAAAGTTATTTATTTTTTTCATCTAGTATATTTGTTATGTAAGTATATGCATATAGTTTGTATGTATTTAATCAATCTATCAATTTGTTAGTTGCATTAGGCTTTGTTTATTCTAGTATTAGTTGATTTATACACTTGTTTTATGTTTGAGTTTCCGTCCTGTAATTGGCGCAAGCTGTTGGACGAAGTACCCTTAAATAAATAAATAAATAAATAAATAAATAAATAAATAAATAAATGAGGATTCTAAGACCTATCAAATATGGTATTTTCAGAACCACCTTGGTGACCCCTATCTACCATTGAAATATTTCCCTTTACCTGTGAAACACCCTGTACATATACGACCTATTTTGAATATTTTAGTTATTTAGTTATTACTTCAAGAAAAAAGGTATGTACTTTCTCAGCTGACACATTGTCTTAGATTTAAGATCTTTGAAATTTCCAGGTACTTCGTCCTTACGCATTGTGTCTGAAGATGGCCATGGTGCCGGAACTAGTCACACACATAAGTGTTTTATATTACATTTTGTGATCGACCGACTTTGAGTTTGCTTCTTTTTCTCCGTTTGAAAATTACAAGACCACTTTGGGAATGGATGGTTTCCATGACTTATTTTCAATATATTTGTGTGAACTGTTCAGGCAATGAAAATGTCCTTAGGTCACAAATATCAAGGTATATTTCCGAACACCTAAAAATACGATACATGTAACCCTATCACATACTGTGTGTCCCAGCTAAAACCCCCTAATCTGCGATGTCGTTAAAAAAGTGGAAAATCGCTCGGACAGGTCGATTTCAATTTGGCATCTACTCTCGATATTCAAATGGCGTACCCTGTGTTTCATTGCATTTTTAGATTCTCCCTGAAGAGCTGCTTCCATCAATGGTGTCCAGCGAAAATGATTACAGAGATTAAGGGTGTTGAAAATCGAGATATTTCAACTTTAGTATTTTCGCAAAAATGCCTGAAAATTGCAAAAATCGCAAAAATGACTGAAAATTGCAAAAATCGCAAAAATGCCTGAAAATTGCAAAAATCGCAAAAATGCCTGAAGATTGCAAAAATTGCAAAAATGCCTGAAAATCGCAAAAATCGCAAAAATCGCAAAAATGACTGAAAATTGCAAAAATCGCAAAAATTCCTGAAAATAGCAAAAATTCCTGAAAATTGCAAAAATCGCAAAAATTCCTGAAAATTGCAAAAATCGCAAAAATGACTGAAAATTGCAAAAATCGCAAAAATGACTGAAAATTGCAAAAATCGCAAAAATGACTGAAAATTGCAAAAATGCCTGAAAATCGCAAAACTGACTGAAAATTGCAAAAATCGCAAAAATGACTGAAAATTGCAAAAATCGCAAAAATGACTGAAAACTGCAAAAATCGCAAAAATGACTGAAAATTGCAAAAATCGCAAAAATGACTGAAAATTGCAAAAATCGCAAAAATGACTGAAAATCGCAAAAATGCCTGAAAATTGCAAAAATCGCAAAAAGACTGAAAATTGCAAAATCGCAAAAATGACTGAAAATTGCAAA